GTGATTAGTAACAAGGCCACACCTGTGTTTCATGGGTTGGGGACCCGAGAACGGCGGAAGGGATCAGATCACTGACATAAAACCCAGGCGTGAACTTGCTAGCACCCTTAATTAACCCGTTGGGCATTCAAGTATGGAGCTTCGAACATGCACGCAGGAGAGGTTTGGCAACATGAGGCGGGGGCATTCACCCGGGATCTGCACGGTGGCTGATTGGTATAGCCGTGTTTTATCCCGGGCACTGAATGCGTCACGGACGTGGACTGCTTCCCACATGGGTTTGTGAGATCCACCCTCGTCCGTGACATATTGCCAAAACTCCCATCACAGAACCTCCATCAACTGCGAACGGCATGAGGTGAGTGAAGGTCTCCCAAGAGAGCAAGTTCACGGATAGCCGAAAGACAGATGACGGAATTTCAAGAGAAAAGCAAGACGTCAAGTCGTTGCTAAAGCAGTGATCCAGTCTGATCACCTTCGGACCACACACCCAAGAACAGAGAAAGTTCCCCCAGAGTGCTTGAGAATTCCTGTTGGAAACCCTCAAGCACTCATAGTTAGGCGTCAGACGAGCTATCTTGGGTGTGACGGTGTTTATATTTTTTTTTCTATCTGAGATGGGGGGCATTCACCCGGGATCTGCACGGTGGCTGATTGGTATAGCCGTGTTTTATCCCGGGCACTGAATGCGTCACGGACGTGGACTGCTTCCCACATGGGTTTGTGAGATCCACCCTCGTCCGTGACATATTGCCAAAACTCCCATCACAGAACCTCCATCAACTGCGAACGGCATGACGTGAACGATCATTCACTGCAGTAAGTTATGTTAACATATCCCTATCAGGTAATTTGATACAACATCTGCGCTCGCCGGGAATCGAACCCGGGACACAAGCATGGGAAGCTTGTATGATACCGTTACACTACGAGCGCTCGTAGTATACGTGTTGATTGAACCATCCCATGATGGAACGATCATTCACTGCAGTAAGTTATGTTCACACATACCTATCAGGTAATTTGATACAACATCTGCGCTCGCCGGGAGTCGAACCTGGGACACAAGCATGGGAAGCTTGTATGATACCGTTACACTACGAGCGCTCGTAGTATATGTGTTGATTGAACCATCCCATGATTGAACGATCATTCACTGCAGTAAGTTATGTTCACACATAGCTATCAGGTAATTTGATACAACATCTGCGCTCGCCGGGAGTCGAACCCGGGACACAAGCATGGGAAGCTTGTATGATACCGTTACACTACGAACGCTCATAGTATATGGATTGATTGAACCATCCCATGATGGAACGATCATTCACTGCAGTAAGTGATGTTCACACATAGCTATCAGATAATCTGATACAACATCAGCGTTCGCCAGGAGTCGAACCCGGCACACAAGCATGGGAAGCTTGTATGATACCGTTACACTACGAGCGCTCGAAGTATATGTGTTGATTGAACCATCCCATGATGGAACGATCATTCACTGCAGTAAGTTATGTTCACACATACCTATCAGGTAATTTGATACAACATCTGCGCTCGCCGGGAGTCGAACTCGGGACACAAGCATGGGAAGCTTATATGATACCGTTACACTACGAGCGCTCATAGTATGTATGTTGGTTGAGCCATCCCATGATGGAACGATCATTCACTGCAGTAAGTTATGTTCACACATCCCTATCAGGTAATTTGATACAACATCTGCGCTCGCCGGGAGTCGAACCCGGGGCACAAGCATGGGAAGCTTGTATGATACCGTTACACTACGAGCGCTCATAGTATATGGATTGATTGAACCATCCCATGATGGAACGATCATTCACTGCAGTAAGTTATGTTCACACATAGCTATCAGATAATTTGATACAACATCTGCGTTCGCCAGGAGTCGAACCCGGCACACAAGCATGGGAAGCTTATACGATACCGTTACACTACGAACGCTCATAGTATGTATGTTGGTTGAGCCATCCCATGATGGAACGATCATTCACTGCAGTAAGTTATGTTCACACATAGCTATCAGGTAACTTGATATAACATCTGCGCTCGCCGGAAGCCGAACCCGGAACACAAGCATGGGAAGCTTGTATGATACCGTTACACTACGGCTTGCGGGCTTGCGGGAAATATATGGGAAAGAAAGGGGGAAAATGGGGGGAAGGGGGAAAAGGGAGAGCAGCTCCCAAATTTCCTCTCTTTTTCTCGCATTTCTTTCCTAGTAAGCCTGTTGCAGCACGAAGCTCGTGCCACGAACCGGATTTTCGCTCGAAATGAAAATCGCGATGTATAAGATTTTCAGATTGAAATTTTGATTCTCCCAGATTTTCGCTCGACTTCGATGACATGCTCGGCATTTTCGGCACCAACTCTCTGCCGCTTGTAGGTCTGCCTTCTGTAACAGAAGTTCTGTTGGAGTTCTTCCGGTCCCGCTTCTGGAGGCCAGAAGCCCAGAATCTGGGCACGACAGGCCTGCTTCATTTCGCGCAGCTGTTAGCGGGAGTGAGCACAATGAACACTTCCGAGCCTTCTCACTTGTATCCTCCACGGTCGGTAGATCTCGCCACAGCTGCAGCCTTCAAGGCTTCCAATCCCTCGTTTGGATGCTTGGCGGGTTTCATTGGACACTTCCCACACTTCGTTCCATCTTCGACATGATCATTGTACAATGACTTGGTACAATGATCATGTCGAAGATACAATTTGTATCCAAGCATGCGGCATTTGCCACACCAATCACAGATGTTAGAAGCTCCCGTTCCAGGCTCAGAGGAATTTGGCTTGCCAACAGCTCGCAGAGCTTGGTATTGGTTTGGAGGGTAACAAGGTCTTGGATTTTTTAGAGAATCTTCCGGTGGGGATTGCCCGATACGTTAACCTGCAATATAAGGAGGTTATTGAGGCTTCTCAATATTGTGGACCTTCACGGTCGACATTGATAAGATGATTGAGGTGGTAGAACTTTATTGTGAGCATACGTAAAGTGACAGGGAGAGTGTTGACTCAGGATTACAGGTTGCTGCTGTTGCTATCATTGGGTCAAAAGGTCGACCATTGTGTCGTTTTCACCGGAATGGTCGTTCTAAATTAGGTGATAAGTGTCGATATCGACATGGCGACACTAATGATAGAAGTTCTTCAAAGGATAGACCTAACTGGCGGAAGAATAACTGGGGCGACGGACTATCAGGGCGCGCGCGTGTGAGAGCACAAAATCACCGATCTGTCTATTGCCATATGCATGAGCGAGACGCACAAGAAATTTTCATATATTAATTGAGCCTCGATGCGGATGATCCTATCCGACCAGGTGATTCCTTCTCCCTGCTACCAGAATTAACGCACGTTGCCACATCTTCAATTAGCTGTCTTTGTTATCGATGGTGTCGTAAGCCGCCGTTTCCGGAAAGGTCACCAGTCTCCGAGTCATTCGTAAGCGTTAATAATAGCAGGGCAGACTAAAATGAGAAGCTGATAATGGAGTAACGTCCCGAAACCGCGGCTTCGAGTAAGAGGGGAGAACAGCGTCGCAACCCAGTTAAACGAGTGGTGCACTACCGTCAGTGCGAGCCACTCGATTAATGCCGAGGCTGAATGTACCCTCGGATCTGAAGGATAGGAGCATCACAATTAGAATTCAGAGAGTCTGTTAGACTCTCTGAATCAGTTTTCACGTATTTCGTCCTAATGATAGTTTCACCTCCGAATTCTCTTGGAGTTCATCGTCAATTTGAACAATAGTGAAGCTCGTAGTTGTCTGATCCTTTTAATATGACGTACGGTTCGTCCTCCAAGACTCGATCTTCAACAGATGAGGAGGAAAAGTAGAGTCGGCTCATTCGTAAGGATATCTTCCTCATTTGCGTCTTATTAGATTCCACTCGCTCGCACCAGCCCGGCGATCCAGAGCATATCCCCTTGAGCTATACGATCATCTTGATGCGCACGAAACTCGAACGCCTGAAGAATGGTTAAAGTGGTGTGCCGATTTCGAGGCTGGAGGACTGCCTTCAGCAGACGTCCTCCACTTACGCGATGGTCATACCATTTTTTTACCGTGTAGCGTGCGTAGCTACGACGCGAGAAACAAGAGGTTTCTGGTCATAGTACCAAGCGAAGGGTCTATGCTTAAGCGAGTATCGAGATTACGTCTCCGATTTCGTTGTGAAGATCCGGCCGACTTCAGCGTTCGGACCCATTGGGCTCGTCAATGTCGTAACAACGCCTTCCTACAGATGGAAATGGATCATCGACTCCGAGTGAAATGCCGTGAGCTCGGTATTAGCATGCCAACCTCCATAAAGCAGCACTTCAACGAGGCGGTCTCGCGGTCATTGAAGTATCTTTCGGATAAGTCGTCAATAGAGAGTTTAGAGGAAGTCCTCGGAGACGAAGTAAAACAACTCATACAGGAAGTGGAAGTTGAGTATAATAAGGCTCTCACAAAATGCGCGATGGGTTTTCGTCAGTCGGAGTTCCTCACGAGTCAGCGGACGATTGAATTGGTGCAAGAGGCGAGGAAATCGCTTGTGCCTCCCATCGCTGCTCGCTCTCGTCGGTTGATTCGTCGAACAAGATTTTCAATTCCTCTACTGCGGGCATTCAATTCATGTTCGAAAGCCTTGGGGGAAGTGATGAGCCTTTGTCCTCTGGTCATTGACTGGTCTCGGTATGACTATAGTAGTGATCCGACCAGACTAATCACCACTGGAAAGGATTACTTCAAAATTAGTCATGAAGAGGAATACCTCTCAGAGGATGACATCAGCCTCACCGAGCTGCCGCTTTCTGTCTCAACCTTGACTTTTTCTCGATTCGTCAAGCAGATGAGCGTCCATCAAGAGAGAGTGTCTGAAATTGTTAACCGACATTGGAGGGAATTTGTCATTCGCAATTTTCTCGACAATCTAGTCGGCACGTTTGATTTTTTACGAGAAGATAGGACAATTCACTTGCAATCTCAACAGCACAGTGTGTGCCACATGTTTGACGTCATGATCGGCCATGAGCTCTCAAGATGGGCGGAGAACTCCCTTGAAGAGTGGGTTGAAGCAGTAGAAGAAGCGAGGCTCCTTCCGGAGTTACAAATCGAAATAGACCTTTCCGCTGCTGGACAAGTAGTTCTGTCTCCAAATCAGAGCGAGATCCTTGAGACTTTCGATTCTTTCATTGAGGGCGTCGAATCGTTGGCATCGACCTTCAGCAGTATTGAACCAGAACTCTTCCCTCAACCGGAGATACCGGAAGAGCATTTGTTTGCTCTCGACTCGGAGTTGGTGATGAGTTCTAAGGAGCGTTTGAGACGCGTCTTACTCGAGGATCTTCAAGAAGCTCTGAAGGTTGTCGATGCATACAGTGCTTACGAGGAGTTGATTGCTGAACTCACCCCACCGGAAAGTGCGGAGGAGGTTGACCTCAATATTGTTCGTGACTTTCTAAGTCAGTGTGCTCAACGCTTAGAAGAAGTTGGTCGAGTTTGTCCTGGAGGTATTCAGACGAGGCTCTTTTTCGTCGACACCAGTATCGCAACGAGGAAGCTGTCCGCGATGATTAGTCAAGCGAGCACCGACTGCCTTCTTGCGATGTCACAAGAACTACAGAGGAATACCGAGGATATAAGGGATGCTTACAGGTCGCTCGATAAACATTTCAATACTCCAGAAAATGATTACGAAGCTGAGCGACTCCTCCGCATGGTTGAGAACATCGACAAGCAAACCTTGGACCCGCTTGAGGCGAGAATTTCACAACTAGTTGAAGTTCTCGATTTCTTGGATACCTCTATGTTCCTGATCTCCCTTGATCTCCGAGTAGAAATATATGACCTCCGCACTAAAGCTCCCGATGTCCGAACTGATTTTCGCCTTTTGTGTGAAGAATTGAAATTGATTTTTGAGCCTCCTGCTGAAGATGAGGAGTCTGATGAATGAAGCATGATGTGCTGTCCAAATAGTATGTGTGTGTTGAGTGACAAGTAGAGGAATGATAAGAACTCTCCCGATTACTCCACGGGTGTTGATAATCAACAGTGCCAGTTGACAAACACTTCTCCACGCGACCATTGAATGTAACTAGACTGCAATAACTCTACAATAATTGATTTGTTGATGAATCACATTCTGCCTGGATATCAATGTAGCTAGCACGCAAGTATTATCATCTATCATTCTGGTCTCTGAAACCTTCATTCTCAGCAGTCATGCTGGGCTCGCGATTCTGTGAAGGTGTCATACATATGCGGTGTCCAACACGATGGATGAACTTGGACCTCCTTCTCTGAGCGATGAGTTTGGCCACTCCGATGTGAAGTCCTACCTTCGTCAATGTACCCCTTCAAGTGAACTATCAACTCGATCGCTACCAGTTTGAACAACAGTAGGGATAATCATGCTTAACCTCATATATACAATAATTGCAAATAAGCGAGTAGTACTAGTGAGTTACATCTTCTCTGCCTTACCTTCATAAAAACGAACTGCCGCGGGTTCATTGTTGCTGTACCAATTGCAGAACTCAAGCCGTAGTTCCGGCATCGAATCCAACACAGCTCGCAGATCGTCCATGACGTTTATAACCATCTCACAGTGACTTGACCTCAACGCCGACCAATGCTCGGCGTTCATCTACATGTGTTGGTGACGGTATGGGAATTCCGAGGACATTTTGGCATCTTTTGCACACTTCTACGTGAATTCGTGTGTGATTTTCCATGATATAGTTAGGGAACCCCTTAGCTCAGCTAAGAAAAGCGAACACATATTCCTCCAACACCAATTCTGGTCACAAAATACTACCCCACTCGGCGAGGGGAACATAAAGCCGTTAGACCGACATGGGCACGTACCCTGACAACTATGCCGACATATCCAGATACATTCATATCCGGACTACCGAACGAAATAGTCCCAGTTGTTGTAAAATAGTCCGCGGAAAAAGTAAAGCGAGTCGTCGAGATTACTGACCAGTAATAGGACATCCCCAGATGCCCAAATCACGAATTCTACTCTGGTTAAGAGTCGCTCGAGCGCCAACCACTCCAAGTGTCGTGGTTCCCTGAGGGGGGCGGACCGCACACTCCAGCCAAGATGGCGATCTTCAGAGTAGAGGAGAGACTCTTCGTACTCCTCAAAACTCAGCTCCACGCCACCACATACCGCCAGATTCTACACTAAAGATTATGCATAGTTCATATACTCTTCAAGGTTGAGCATCGCACTCTTGTGTTGAACATTCTGGTCGTAGAATTGATGAACCTTCCTCATGACTACATACCAATGATAATCATACCAAGATGAGAAGCAACAATGGAGACCAGAAGGAGTAACGCAATGAGAGCTTTCTTACCCAAAGGAACAGAGTGGATGCCTCCGTAGCCGAATGCTGTCTTCGCGCTCCGAATCAAATAGTGTTGAGATATAACGGCAACTTATGGTTGTCAATTCCCAAACACGGATCGTTTGAGAGATATCATCTAAGACTCCCCTTCTGATCGCACTCTAGAAGACTCCCGCCTTCCGATGGTACACCGTGTAGGGGTGAAGATTCGCGATAAGGTGGTATGATTTCGTAACACTACTGACATCAACTCAAAAGGATTGACCAGAGAAGGCAATTATATTTTCGTGCACAGACTTTGCATGATGGACTTCATTTATTGGACGACGGTATTACTCTCATCTATCGTTAGGCACCAGGTTAGGCCTCGATGCTAGAGGCCCTGCACCAGTGGGCAGGACAGGGTCGAAGACAGCGAAGGGATTGCGATACTCTTCCCTTCTCATCTTACTGGCAGCTAACGACTAACACAGGAAAAGCACAATAACTAACCGTACTCAACCACTCTTGGAATCACAGTGGACTACAACTGCTAATCTTCGATCGGATATATTACCAAAGGGCTTACCTTCCTTCCAAGAGCAGCCTCCCGTAGTCCCTTCACTTTATTATCAAGATTATCTTCCACCTCCCTGATCGAGATAACAATCGATCATCTGGGCGAGCGCTTCTTCATCAAGTCAACTGACCTCATCATGGAGAGTATCTCCTTAAGATACTTCTCCCGACCACGATCGAGGCAGTTGTTTACTATTGCAGTATCCTCCTCAAAGCGGCAGGACCGATGGCTAAGGAGATCATAACAAGAAAATGGATAATCGTCGTCCTCGTCCTACTTCTCCTTGCTCTCATCTGAACCTTCAGAGAGTGCCACGATCTCACTGGCAGAAATGCAACGACGATTCCTCTCCAATTTCGCCTCTCTATCAGCTAGGAATATCTAAGGTTCAAGTTTTAAAGATACGGAATAGGTCCAATAGACGCACCCGTGCTTCGCGATTCTTATTCTGCAGGTCCATGAGCTCCTCTTGGTACTCTCTGTGCTTCTCCCTTGTCTCTCGCTCGGCGCTAACACCATATGATCGTGAGCACGCTATCAGGCTTTGTCGATCATGCCTGAATCGGCGCTCCATCTTATTCTTCTTTTCCCTCAAGTCCTGCAGGGTATGATCCTCTGCCCTAAGCTCCGACTCAAGCTCAGCTGCCTCTTGACGTAGCTGTAAAATCTGATGGAAAAACCGTCAAATACAATTCCAACCTCTCCACCACTAAGTAGCCCACATCAGAGTCGGCAGCTTCAATCCGCGCCCGATTACACGCGTTATGTTTGAGCAACTGAAAGACATCAAAAAACACTACGCCGTGAAAATACAAAACTAATCTGTTCAGTACTACGAAGTCCACGTTTCAAAGAGGCACGTCTCATTGGAGGACTACGGTGCGTTTCGTCATACCCGAACTAAACTAATGTTCTCCTAGAGCCTTCCTCTATACCTTATCAAGATCTTCTTTCTGCCTCCTTATCCCTTCCATAAGAGTACCAATATTCTCCTTCTCTGCTTGTATGAGCCGCTCTCGATGCGAGACCAACTCTGTGAGTCGTTCGATCTCACCTGAATTCAACCTCAAAGGCATCCAACCTTCGGACCCTACTGAGCATCCACTTGCTGTGCTCTTCTCTGTCGTCAGCCTCCTTCTCTAATTCAATAACGTCTAGCTGCAGCCTGAAATGAATAAGGACGAAGAGTGAACTAAACAACAATTCTTTTATAGAATACAAGACATCATTGATTTCATCACAATGATCGTCACTAAATGGAGTGACCTTCCAGTGATACCTCTGATTTTGCAACGCCAACTCATCCTTCAAATTTTCCATCCTCTCAATGTGCTCGGCATTCTGCTTCCGAGCTGCCTCAAATTCTGTAATAAATCGATGTTGAACCATCCTCCAACACACCCAAGTAGTACCCTGATTTTCCCTAACGATTTCAGCCTCGACTCGAGCCAACTGCATACGTAGAGTGTGATCTTGCTGGCTCGTCGCAGCGCCCGTTTGGAGCTGATACCGATACCGACGACGGTCTAGAGTAGGCGGCAGGGAGGTGCTCGAATCCGATCGTGCTAATCCAAGAGAGGCCAGACCTGAAAGTTGAAGAAAAGTTGGTATGACTATCGATAGACATTCCCATGACCTCTAGGGGACCTCGGTAGACTGTGATGGCTACCAGCACTTGAGCTACTCGTCCTGGAAGGCCTCCATATGAAGGGCGGCAGAGTGGAGGAGCCCCCAAGGAGAGGGGCGCTCAATTGCGGTGAGCGAGGATGAATCGGCGAACGTGATGATACAGAAGGTATTACTGAGGTAGTATCCACAAATTGGGCTTGTTAGATGCAAAACTATTTACATGGTGGCCAATTATTATTGTTGTTGTTGGTGGTCGTCGCTGCAGATCGGAGGAGATGTTGAGCACTGACCGCACTACTAGTGGACGATGATATCGGCTGCTTTTGCTGCTGCTGCTGGTGTTGTTGTTGCTTTCTCGAAGCGAACATTCAAGACTGATAAATGCTGTCCTGTCAACTAAGAAGGCCCATCCCTGTTATGACCAACACAACCACCACAAAGCATCATAAGAAACTGTCTCGGCGGCCGCGGATGAAGAAGAAGGAGACCTCAACGAAACTCCATTGCGTGTTGTGAGGACTCAGAAGTGGCAGCAGTAGTACTCTCATTGTAATGCCTCTTCAAGTGAGATGGATGCCCCTCCTCCTCATCATCCAGCTCCAGTCCAAGCTTAAGTGACTCGAGTACTTCACCAATCGTATCGAATTCTGCACAGGTTTGCTCCAAAGTGGCGGGGGAAATGTTGAAACTACCAAACATATGTTCGATTTCAGCCTCTTCCTCAGGAGAGGGTCGAACGCTGAGATAATGGGAGAGCATTTGAGCGGCCATATCAGGCATCATCCACCCCATATGTATCCGCTTGTTGATCCTCCCTGGGCGTATCAACGCCGGGTCCAACCGCTCCGGGTGGTTAGTGGTCATAACCAGAATCCTACCAGGGGAATCAACAATACCATCGAGAGCGTTGAGGAGACCAGACAAGGACAACTTATCGGGATCATCGAACAAGGAAATCCTGCCAGTATCTTTTAAGACATCCGCGTTACCCTTAGATGGAGCTCGATCATCAGAGATGTTCTTGGCAGCCAACACACCAGTGGTGACCGCATGGATCAGCCTTTCCATGGATGGCTGACTATCCTCCACTGATCCAGTAGCCGCCTCACTCATGGAATCTTCAGATGGCTTGGTTGGAGTATCTTTCAAATCTTCCCTGTGCGCACCCTCCTTATCCATGGACCCTCGCGAATACACCACTTTGGAAGCTGCATCGACATCCTCCATAACGAATATGATATCAGCAAAATCCAATTTTGGTGGTTCATCATCACCCTTGACAGGAAAGGAGAGGTCGAAGAGTATATCCATGAGCTCTTGATTGGTCATAACCTTCTCCAATGACACACAGACGACATTACGATTAGTATACTGCGCCAACGCTTTGATCAAGCTAGTCTTACCAGTACCAGGAGGGCCGTCCAACAGCAAGCCTAACTTGTTCGGGAATCCTGATATCGCAAACTTTCCCCTTTTATGTACAAAATCATCAACAAGTCTAATGAGCGAGTCCTTCTCGGGAAAGAAAAGGCTGTCGAAGGACTTGCAATCACTGAGTCTATACTTCTTGAATTCATCCTCCTCCTTAGTTCGAATATAGAAATAACGACTACCATCCGCCTCCTCCAACTTCTTCCGAACATACCAATCATAAGCTCGTCCGATGAATCCATCGACTCTGTCACCAGCGCCTAGGCCTCGGGACTTGATGAAAAACGATGTGATCTTGTTATTGGTAGTCGTCTTATAGTCACCATTGGACTTAGTCGTCTTAACATTGTCAACAATCTCCTCTTGTTTGAACCATATATCTTCGACCTCATCCACCAACACCCAATGCCCCTTAGAAGGGAGGCGAGTGACCTCATAAGACTGCAGCTGTTGAGCATTTCCTGTGAACATAACAGCGTCACCATACCGATCCTTCTCCAACTTGATAGTCCTATGCGCTACTAAGAAGACCTCCATATTGTTCCCCCCAAGATGGTACTTTTCCTCGATGTAAAGTCGTAAAGCCTTCTGCAATATATTATTCCGCTGAGTCGTGTCAAGGACGCTGGAGTCGTCATTATCGGTATCCAAATTTTGCCCTTCGAGGAAAGATATCTCTCGAATGAATTCGTCGGGTCGGGCAGTTACCCAGTGAAGCGTTGACTTGAGGGAATCCCAGACGTCAATCAACACCTGGCGATCGGTGATCACCTTCATTGCGATCGGCACAGCGATGCAAAGAGCGAGGTCGCGGTACTTGTTGCCACTTCGTAGAAGCGACGTCAGACCCATGTTAACCCCGGAGTTCACAGCATCTTGAATGTCGTCCATTATGAGAAGAAGAACTCAGAAAAGGTACAGATTTGACAATATCGATAAGCTCACGAGCGTATATTACTCTCGAATAGCGAATGTAGGGCGGTCCGCACAATGAACATCGCACGTTTCAGGACCACGAGAAAATAAGAAAAAAAGAGATCCCGAGAATTGAACCCGGGACGTCCGCCTGCCAATTAGTTGGTCTAACCAACTGAACTATAAACGAAATGCACCGAATTTGTATACTAGGATCTTGATGCTCGCGGACAAGATGGTAAGTTTAACCTTTTGTAATGTCAGTGCGTCTCGCGTGATCATCACTATGTGAAAGTGGATGGAGGACCACTCGAGCAGACTCAACGTTAACATAAGAAGAATTGTATGGCGTCTTGCCGCGTAACACCTGGATGACTAACCGACAAAGGGTCGAAGGAGATTCGTGGTAGATCGTATGGATGTGACCATATACTTGCTTCTATCCTAGAAATATATATTAGGTACTACAGCGTAATAATTACACCTGCAACACGAAAAAGGATCAATGGGGATCACCTTATAGTGATCATTCGAGACCGCTGAGTCCATTATACGGATCGTTGGCCTCTCACACACCCTGCTTCACTCAGCCTATTAAACAGAATGAATAGACTCGTCTAAAGGGGTGACCGTGTCTCCATGTCTAACGAAATCCGGAACCGTGCGATCGGGAGTACGACGGTGATCAGCTCGTACTCTTTATATCCCTAATATAACTGAGGGATAATTCAATCATGCGAATATGGCAATGCACCCTCAACCGACCTCACTCAATCACGTTTCACAGATAGACTATAGCTACGCGCTATCCGGCTTAGGGATACTCTATGAAGCACATGCCCCGAGGAAATTTTTTCGACTAGTGAGCCTGTTTCACAGAAACAAATCGCGCGTTAAACATAAGCGACGCCTCGATTATACCATAACTTACACCTGAGCTTAAGGCGCCTTCAATTTAATATCCTTACGAAGCAGGCTCAGCGTTGGCAGTGCTACCGCCGGTCAACGTGAAACCCCCATGGATCTCCATGAAACCGCTGGGGCGAGCGATGGATCGACCGCTACCCCCAGCCACACTCACAGATCAGTCACAGTATTCAATCGTAGCGATATCACTCTGAGTGTAGTGTGTACTGGATGAGTTGGATTGACTACTTCGGTGAATGCAGCGCTGGATAGCTCATCATAGCACAGTATGATCCGGTCGATGTCCACCACCTTGCAGTAACTTTTGCCTCCTATGTTCTCGATGTATCTGGTCGCCCTCATCATCGTCTTTTCTGGTCACGCGTGGGTGACTAAGCAGAACGTAAGATGCATGGTACATTTGATCGTTGGAGAATTGCCCTTCTTGCCAGGCTTACTGTGAATCCGTATGCAGTCGCTCTCTCGACTGCGCTGCCGCCATCCACGGGACTTACTGCAACTATTGGGCCGAAATTCCTACATGCTACGGCTTGTACTCGGATATGTTCCACCAGTACACCTTAACGTGCTCCTAATCTCAGGTATTCGCTTGATAACGACATCTGCTACAGCTCTGCCTCGGACTGTCTCGACTACCAGCCTGTATCTTGCGCCGTTGGCGATATACCCGCAAGATTCTCAATCAACGGCTCAGCACCGGTCGCAGCGACGTGCCCTTTCACCATGCTCTGTCCTGAAGGCGACCTAACGAGCTCCTGCATGATGAACACCACAGATTCCGACCATTGCTCCTGTTCTGGGCTCAACGTTACCTGTGGTCTACATCAGAATACCAGTGCTCCCTGTATGGGCATGGTCGGCGTCACCAACGGCACCAATAGGGTCAACGAGACTTTGTGTGACGGAATTAGTAATTATACTGACTGTATGGTTACATGCGAGCCGATTGGATTCTCTGTTTCCAACGTTACCGAGTACCACTGTAACTGCACGGTTGTTGATGGTCATTACTCTACTTCAAACTCGACTACCCTATTGCCTAGTGGTGGGTCGATACTTACGACCACTGCTACCCCACCATCCAGTGGTACCCTCCCTTTCGGCCAGTATTGTGGTCTCCTCGGCGATGAACTGCCGCTTGTAAGGTCAAGTAGGGTATGAATCCAGTTACTATCACGTCAGATATTCGATTTCACGACCAACTCTATTGATATCCTAGGTGGAGATGTTTTCGCTCTCACTGGCATCGAGTAAGGAAGACCGCAATTCGCCTATAATCACCATACTTCGTTTCAGGTTCTTCGGTCTAGACCCGAACTCTCCCGCGGGTAATACTCTCGACATCAATCTCTCCGATCCGCAGTTCACTGACCTCATTGGCAGCGGTGGAGCTTTCGATCGCCAAATATTCTCATTGAGGTGATTTCGATGTGGGACGATACTACGTAGTGTATTGGTTCTTTTCAGCTACTACAGTTCGACCAATACTATTGGAGGCTTCTTCACTGCTCGGCCCGTTGAACTCACGCCTAGCAACTGTTGAACTGCGGCGTGGCGTTCATTCATCATCATTCACAAATCGCTATCAAATTCACTCCGATAAGCGCGGTCAATCCTCACCTGTGTGACTCGCATGGCCAGTATTCATCTTAGCCTCTTTGGGTTGTGTTCGAGTGTCCCAATCATTTCGTTCCTCTAAGGCATGCGAGTTGCTTTACTCCGTTTTCCCTGCGTTCTCCATTCTGTTGTTAGCTCGATACTCCCGGCACCTCTAGACGTAGGTCGGTGTCCTTGCACCTTCCGACGTGGCTGTAGTTAGATACCCTGTTGGACGACCTGCTCTCAGCTCTACGATTGCGAGGAGAGCTTGTTGGGCACCCACAGCGAACCCTCGATAGATGTAGAGCAGCAGAAGGAAGCCGTGTGCTTTGGGCTGTAGGTGAGATTTCAATCGTAGTTGTTGCTGCTGCTGTTGCTTCCACTCAGGTATGAATGTACGACAGTGTATGGTGGTATGTGCTACCATCCAGCTGCATCCCTAGGCTCGCCATTGCTTTGCCGGGACGCCCCCTCCACGATTGATTACACTAGAACACCATCCGAAGGTAGGCACCACCGTCTCTATAAGCGACGGCTTCGATCCCTAATTCAGGCACAGTCGACGAGTCCCCAGCCGATGCTCTCCCTGTCGGTGAGTACTGCGGAGGTTCCACCGAACTCCCCCCGGATGCTGAAGTGGTAATTTATTTATGACCCCTTCTATCCAGCTCGTCTTTCGGGGGTGTTTCAGGTCATCAATGTCCGCCAATCAGCGGTTTTTGACATTATCATACCGCGGTACTTCTCTATAACAGGCATACGGTAAGAGAATGTCGATTTCAAGTTAGGTTTTAATATTCAGTCGTTGTTAGTCTATACGACATCGACAGCAGTTACCCCTATGGCAACATGGTATTCGACCTCTCCCACCATCGTATTCAGTCAATGTTTGGGGAGATCCTACAGAAGAATCCTGGTTACGTCTATTTCATCTACGACCCGGTTTTGGAAGTGATTCAGGCTCAACTCGGACATCTACCTCTACACACTTCTCGTCACCTCTGCTTTTGACGATAATTAGCTTCTAGTCGCTGTAACGTATGTACTTCGTCATGGTCAGCTTGGTGGATGCCACTTCATTTGGGACGTAGTCCACTCGCTGTGTTGTAGTTATTCGCTCCAATTCAGAGCCTCTGAATGCTTTCAATGACGCACTTTATCGGCATTTTCAGATATACTTTAGAGGCTTAATACCGTCTCGCGGAGTGTTAGCGCGTTTCAACTACACATGTGGCAGATCCCCAATGAGCAATCTCGCAGGCTCATTATTCCGTTGGATTCATAACCCGCTCTCCTACCAGGTCTGCTCTACTGTTGGCTGGCTCGTCGCTCGGTGACGTACTGGATGTAGACTACCTGCAGCCTCTGCGATCTTATCTCTAAGGTCAGCTCCTGTGAAGTTGTTTGAGGAGGCATATGCGATAGCGCTTCCAGGAGTACATACTGCAAAGGCTGGCATCTTCCCGAGGCCTGTGTCGGCTTGTGAACCTTTTGGACAGTAGTCTCGAGCAGACATCGATCTGGAGATGGTGAGATGTGCTACCGGCCGACCGATCCTTACTGTTTGCGGAATACCCTGTCCTCTGTGATGGAGACACGTCTGGTGCTCTCTGGCCATGTGATGATTTTGTTGTTACTTCGGCACTCCTGAATACCCTCATCACCACCAGCACGCTGGAGGATACCATCATGTGGGACGAGTCTACTGCCACCACAAGTTCAAAGACTATCAGACTGAAAGTATCAGTAGTTCGGCGACGACCGAGTTACCGGCGATGAGCTTCCCTGCTAATGCTGTATCTCATGGACGATGCTGCAGCGATCGCGATTGCTGATGAGGTCCCGTTTCCGCTAGAGACACTTGGTTGGTACTGCGGTGTCTTGACTGGAATAGTACCATAGTTGGATCCATGTGCACTCAATCGGTCATCAAACTGTTTCCAGTCCATGCGCCACAGTGAGGACACTCGACATTGCGGGAGTCTCTGAAGTAGACATTGAAGGCGGCACGTATTTGCCCTCAGTTAGTCACTGAGTGTGCAGCATCTTTCTCGGAATACGACTCGAAGCTGGGTGGGGAGGAAGCTAGGTAATCTTACTCGTTCATTTAATGAGGCAACGGAGATATTTTTCATGAGCTAAATTTTTCGCCACGCAGCTTATTTAGTCGATATTTTGTGCTTCCATTGTGCCTTCTGCTAGAACTGCTCAACCCCACTCGCAGACGCAAACCCAGGCGAAAATTGATAAGTTGATTTAGTTAGAATGTTTATGTGTGTTGTATCACCCAATCAGGAGACGATTTATCCTCGTCTCCACTATCATAACAGGGACTAGCCACACGGGGTCGATAGTGGCAAAAAATCCAAAACAAGAAAATGGAGCATAAAGCACCCAAAGAGATTACCAATATGAAACTCTGTTGCCATCCGACAGCTCCAAATGCCCCATCATAGCCGATGAAACTGTTGGCGTAGGATTGCCCTTGAGCATAATGGGCTCTGAGCTGGGGGAGTGTAACCAGTGCGACAGGAGGCTCGGTTATACTCGATTCGTACGGGATGAGGGCAACATCCCTTTGACCCACTGGCTGCCCTACGACCAGAATTCGCTCCACGTACTTATAGTTGCCCGGAATACTTTCGAAATTTCTGAACTCGAACGGACCTGCGAGCTGAGTCTCGAGCGTGTGGGTGGGTCGGTGAGGGACCTTACAGTCGGCCCATGAGACATGATCCCATGTCATCGGAACAAAGTCGTCACGGAGTGCGCAGACCTCTCCCTCTGCATAGCGACAAACAGTCACTTTGCCGTCGAGATGACCAGGACAAGATTTGCATGGTTCCTCGGGATCGGTGGACTGCAGGTGTTGGAAGACATCAACATGACATGCAGTACCATTGACTACATGATACACTCGGAATTCAGCATTCTCACAACCTTCCCATTCATCTTCGTCCAAAGCCGAACCAACACCAAGCTTAATGCCGTACACTTGGTAGTCTGGCATGAGGCCTTGTACCAAACTGGCAATATTCTTATGCTCGGGAGAAGCATATTCACCGAAAGACTTGCGACAATCCGACTTCATGATGGATAAATCCCCGTCGACGTCCCACGGGATAAAGCCTTTGTGATGACGATACCAACCCAGCAGAGTGCCATCAGAGATAGACGCGTCAATGCCGATCGAGTCCAAGACATACGTGGTCGAATTGATAGTTTCGGCGAGACACTCGAAAAACATAGCGTTGTCCTCGGTAGCGAGAAGCTCCTCACTACTAACACACTCTGAACCATTGATCGTTACCTCGTGCCTGGGCCAATCGGTAAGGTTCATGCCGTCTATGAACGGCTTAGGACAAAGGAAAAGATGCTCGTCTGGAGCGGAGATGGGATTTTCTTCCGCATAAACTCTGATGAAAGGATGAGGTCTCGGTAACGAGAATGCTGCTACGGTGGAAACGGAGGCTAGCGGCAGTAGGAGCATAACGAAGATAAAAAATGATCGTCGGACTTGCTGTCACGAGCAAAGTGCAGGTTTCAAGGAGCCTGGTCGAAATCCAAAGAATAGAACAGAGTCCAACGAGCTGCCACCCGGTGACGGGCCGTCACTAACGGTCTCCGGAGACAGCTCAGGACGAGCGAAAATGCATCCTTGTCTTCTACCCTCAACGCGTTTCGAGTCGAAGCCTTCGATGACCAGCGTGTAGATATGCATTTTCACGACAGTTCATCCCAGTTACCTCACGGTTCTTTCCCTCTTTCCTCGAAGTAATGCTAGTGTGATTCGCGAACCGCACGCGTCCACTGGACGCCGTCCAATTTACTCCCATTGTGGACGGATCTATTCGAAACCGTGATCGGGTCGTCGATTGATACTCTTGAGTAGACGATAATTGTAACTCTGACACAATCCAAAGTTAGATAGAGTGCCGGGAGTGTCGAGTTTAATCCTGAAAAGAATTCCCGAAAGACTCTAAATGTAATCGCACGTTTGACGCATGCACACGTGGCAATCGCACGTTTGACGCATGCACACGTGGCAATCGCACGTTTGACGCATGCACACGTGGCTCGGGGTCGATGTACAGATAGCGAACAATCGATATAATACAGCTTAAAGACTGGCCAACGGGAACGGACAGATGCTTCTACTACACCGTGATACGGTGACCGTGTGAGCCACTCTGGGGAAGAATACTATCAAGTTGGAGAAGATGTTGAGTGTTGAGGTTTTCGGGAGTTGGGAAGCAGGTGGAGCGAGTGGAGCATAAACTGTTACCTCTGGGCCTCTGCGTGCGTTTGGTCGAGCCGTCATCCGTTCGGAGCTTGCCACGATTATGCTGAATGAACACGGATGACATGTAGGGTCTCTTTCACTAACTGCTTACTTACCTTAAGACGGTATGAAACTTCAATACTAAGGTTAGATCGTTTCACTAAGACATGAGAAGGGTTAAGATTACTTAAGTTTCTCAGACTCACCCTTAAGGTAAGAAAGCTTAAGATCTAATGTTGGCTTTTTAAGATCGGTGAGTAAGGGAGTTAGTGGAACTAACTTGGTTCGTTTCACTAATCCACGTTCTTAATGACGTACTCAAGATACCGGTAAACCTCGAGCTGCGGCCCTCGACTGTCTTGTCCCGGCCTCAACTCGTGGAGTTGACTCAAAACTCACGTTAAATTGACGTAAATACGCTCCGCCCAAATCAGTAAGCGCGTGCCTCAATCCCCGTGAGTACGGTTCCCGGAGAATGAAGTTCCACATCTATTTTCCTCGACTTGTGCTCTTTCCAAGTTTGCTCTTGGTTCAAATTTCTCAGGGGAACAATTGATGCTCAGAACAATTCTGACGCAGACACAGATGGACGAGCTTTTTATAAAGCTCAACGCTCGTCCGTGTCGAGCGTCAAACAGTTTAACTCATATTTTTGAGTGTCGCTAAGATCTAGTGGTTAGGACGTCACGTTGGGGCCGTGACAACCCCGGTTCATATCTGGGTAGTGACTATTCATTTGCAAGTCTTTTCGGCGAGCTACACGAACCTTTGATATTATTTCGTACCTATCATGACGAGTTGTTGAAACCGGTTAAGTCTTTTCCTCTTGGCGCCAATGTCACTGAGCGAGGGATAAGCATCGAATGAATAGCATGTGGTAGGTATTACGACGCAAATTCTTGAGAACTCGCTTAGTTCTCACTTAAGATTTTACTTATTCTCTTTCTTGAGGTTAGTTCCCTCACACTTGAGGCTGAGGGACGAGTGAAACGTACTCAGTGCAGGTTTGGCCCACAGTGGATCCTCGAATGCGTCGCTGGCAGCGGTGAGGCCTAACCTGGCAAAGCTTCTCCTTGCATCCAAGATAGACGGAAGTGAGTCTTGCAATGAAGCGCAATCAGTCAGTAAGTGCTAAAGGGCGGCAGTTAACAACGTGAAGGGGAAGACTGGTCGTGCCATTTTGGCTCGCCTGACCCCATGGCATATATTAGCCAGGCAACTATATTCGCCATCCTCTACTGTGGGCGAAAGGCGTCGGGTATCAAATTAATGACTAACCTCTTTGAATGAGGTTGGTTAACCTCTGCTTCGTTTCGTCATATAAGGGTCTACAGGGTCGGGCTTATTGAGCGGGTGCTGCTTATGGCTTCTCCGTTTTGCTTGTCTCGCTGCCGGCATTGCGTCGCTCCCAATGTCCACAGTGAATACCTTCTACGTAGGGTCATCAACGTCAGCTCTAACTCCGAAAAATAACGACTGTCGGCGATTCTAATTGGGTAGCCCAATTTGGGTTGGTGCATGAATCCAATGATGCAGTGCAAGGGGTTAATAATGTATGAGGGGTCTTCACTTCGTCAACAGGTGCCTCGGAGATATGCTGATAT